AGTGTGATTAATAATATTTAGATCACATCTTTTAAGTGTGATTAATAATATTTAGATCACATCTTTTAAGTGTGATTAATAATATTTAGATCACATCTTTTAAGTGTGATTAATAATATTTAGATCACATCTTTTAAGTGTGATTAATAATATTTAGATCACATCTTTTAAGTGTGATTAATAATATTTAGATCACATCTTTTAAGTGTGATTAATAATATTTAGATCACATCTTTTAAGTGTGATTAATAATATTTAGATCACATCTTTTAAGTGTGATTAATAATATTTAGATCACATCTTTTAAGTGTGATTAATAATATTTAGATCACATCTTTTAAGTGTGATTAATAATATTTAGATCACATCTTTTAAGTGTGATTAATAATATTTAGATCACATCTTTTAAGTGTGATTAATAATATTTAGATCACATCTTTTAAGTGTGATTAATAATATTTAGATCACATCTTTTAAGTGTGATTAATAATAATGCCCTCCCAGGGTTTTCATTTCAATATTTATTGATTCATTTTACTTCTCATAATTTTAATCAAAATACTATTCAAATTCAACAATTTCATCAGGATTGCTGAAAAGGTTAATGATAGGTGGGAGATAGTAGTCCTTCCAAGCTTAGGTTAGGAATATAATTCTATTTGTTCCATTTTTTTTTCCCTGTTAATAAACATTTAAACTTTTTAGGATGAGCCTCATCATAAAATTTTCACTAATATAAATATTCATCTTTGAATTGGGCATCATTGGCTGATCTTATCTGGAATTTGTCCAGGGGAGTAGTGATCAGTCGCCCAATTGGCAGCATAAAGCTCTTGTAAAATTTCATTCTATTGGTGATCAAACACACAATGGAATTGTCTATAACACAGGATGGACTAAGCAATGGGATTGCACAAACTATGCAGCCTGAAATCATTCACATTTCACACTAAGATAGAATCAAAACAATCTGGTATTCAGGGCAATGAAAAGGTAATGGTACCTTTTGTTCTGTTTTGTTCTGACAATTATATATCATAGTTTGAGTGAGATATAGTTAATGAATATGTATCACCTATTTTGTGTCTTAGATTGGATCCTGATGTTACAATTTCCAAATTGATTTTTGGCTAGCTTGCTAAAATTTCTTAGTTTTAGGAACCTTTGTATGGATTAAATATTTTTTATTAAAATTTAATTTTGGGATTAGCACATTCCCTGAGAAGTTATCACTTCGCTGTGTTTATGATGCAACTTCTGTTTTTTTTCTTTTTTTCTTTTTTTTCATGTTTCCTCTCTTGAAGTCGATTAGTTAGTGTGTTTCATTTTTGTTCTTTGTCCGTAATGATTGAAGTTGACAACACATATATGAATGCTTTCTAGGAGCTTGCATATTTGTTAGAAGAGAAAAACATGTCTCTGGCAGCGATTCAGGTAGCTCATGAGTCGGAAATAAATAACTTGGGCTTAGAACTTGAGAAAGAACGTGACAAGTTAGCAAATATTCAGCTAAAATTACAAGGTTCTTCCCTACTCTTTCAATGTCCAATTGTAATATCACATTTTGTCATCTTAAATTTCTCACCTGATCTCTTTTCCATTCCTAGAGGAACTGAAGTTGAATAAATCCTTTCAAGAGGAGCTGAGCTTATCAAAAGTGGACAAGGACAAAGTGAGTTATGAATTGGGTTCCTTTTTATTGGAATTGATGGCTATGTTGGCCTTTTGACATTATATATGTAAAGTTGACCATAAATTACTTTTACTCATTTATCTTGAAATGAGTCCATTTATATCTGGTAACATTCACAGAAAGGTTATTTACAGATCTAGGGTTTTGGTAACTTCAGGATTTAGGGTTTTATTTTCGATCTCAGAAATCTTAGAAATCGTTTTCTACCCGAGAATTCCTTTACATTGATGTATCACACTACTCTTCAACTTTATTGACTTCCCATTCTTCGCCTCTGAACTTTATGTTTATCCCTTTTAGGGTTTATTTGACTCTACTATCACAGTACAAATATCTATTTGGGTTACTTCTTTGATCAAGTTGCAGTGTTAAGAAGATTATTATGTTTGATTTTGAACTCCTCATGAACAGTATTTAGCTGGATTTTACTCTGATACTCTGTTTTGTGTTTGATATTAGGTGGGTTTTACTCTGATACTCTGTTTTATGTTTGATATTTGGTGAGATTATGCAATTACTAGCAATTTTTTTCCCACCCTTTTATCATGATGCTAATTTCATGTATGACTATCAGATATATCGATTATCTCTTCTTAGGAGACTATGTTGATCGGGGCCAGCACAGCTTGCAAACAATTACTCTTCTGCTATCTTTGAAGGTATAATACTCTTATTTGGCCTGTATGTTCTTCCTTAGTGGTTAATTATCTTAGGGCTCAAACATTTTCTTAAACTAAAACATGTTGGCTATGTTTCTGTCCATATTGATCGGTTGAACTAGAAACTTGTTACAAAGACCTAGAAGGGATCAGGTGAGTAGGTAGAAACTGATGAAAATGAACTGTTAACATGAATGATGTCAACTTTCCCAGTCAGTATTAAGTGTATGCTTAAGTAAGAGGATATGCTTGGAAACACAGTTACAAGTAACGCTTTTGAAATCTACATGGGATTGGTTGAACCTAGTTTGAGTAAGAGGATATGCTTCGTTTCTGTTTTTTGCCCCATTTTCTCTAGTTCAGATTAAACAAGAAGCTTAGAGCCTTTATGGTTTTTTTTTCATTGTTTTTGTCGTAATTTTCTGTGTGTGTGTGTGTGTGTGTGTTTTGTGTGTGTTTTGTGTGTGTGTGAAATCAAATAATGGGACTTTGCAACGTAGTTGTTTTCCTACCATTTGCATTTTCTTATAATTTTTAAGATTGAAATGTATACATCTAATTCAATGTTGAAGACTAATTCAATGTTGAAGATTGGATGTCTGAAAGAAAACTATGGATCAATTGAAGACTTTGGATCAATTCATATTGTCAACCTTTCACATGAATTAGTCTTCATATTGTCAACCTTTCATGAAAAACTAGTTTTCATATTGAATTGATCGAACCTTTCATGTGTGTTAACTTTACATGAATTAGTGATTGTCAACCTTTCACATGAATTAGTGATTGTTCGTTGCACTATGAATGTGTGTCAACTTTACATTTTACATTGATATTCCTATTCTAGGTCCTGTTTTGGAACTCTGAAGTTTGTCCAGTTGTGTTCAAGCTCAACTCCAGCTGACTGGTCCATATAAAGAAGATTATTTGTTTGTATTTAGTTTATCTAAATTGCTAACTGAACCAGTACATTGACTACCTGATTATTATAACTGCGGGCTGCTGAACTACCTGTTCCAGTAAATGGATTCTGGAGCCAACCCATATGTGCAGTCACATGCCTTTCTATTCTTTTCTCTATTGTGGATCAGGGGTTAGCAAAGAACTAGAAAGAGGAGGATTCCAACCAACCTCAAAACATGTTAGGAAGATAAGTAGATAGAAGATAATTCAATTTACTTTTTTAATGAAATTTTAGGTGGTTTTACCTTGTCTTTCCTTCATTGGATTTGAACTCTTATGAATATTTATGGTTTCTCCATCTGTTTAACAACTCCTCAAGCTTCCAAGGTTCCCTTTAACTTTCACATGTGTTTATGTGAGGATGAGGTAACCATTATTACAGCAAAAAAGAGAGAATATGATTGAACTACATGAATATTTTTCATGCATGTTTCTTTTTAAACAAAAGTATATATCTTTTGTGTCAAATTTTTGCAAATTCACTCTCCAACCCTCTATCAGAATTTATGTTTCTTTGGTTAATAGTGTGTTTAAATTGAAGTTATACATAATTAAGGAAAGAAAGATGACAATGAAATCTATTTGGTGGTTGGGATTGCATAAAAAATAAAGTAACACAATTTGGCATTATTTTTATTGTGTGCAAACAGTGGAAACAAATGACATGATAGCCAATTTTGATGCACCATTCTAGAAAACATTTATTAAAATTTTCTTGAAAATATCTTTACTCAACAAAATATTTAAGATAGTTTTTGGGTTGATAATGGACATTAGAAGCAAGATCAACTTTAAAATAGTTGAGCAAAATCATCTCATGTGTTACCTTTATTTTGAAATAAGGTGTGCCATTTCTGACATAACATCAAGGGAGAAATTCCCTTTTTACTAAACTTGGACAGATTCTGACCCTTTGTGTGTGGATATCATAAAATATCATTCAAAACATAATAATAGCTATTGATACCCTTTTCTCATTGTCTTTCCTTTGGCTTTGGCCTTGGTTGCCTTCACCTTGGGGTGGCTGTAGTTTGCCTCGACCTAGTGATGGCCTTGGATTGCCTTGGCCTAGGGGTGGCTTTGGTTTCCTTAGACTTACCCTTGGTTCTAAGCCTTGTATGATTATATCTTAAATTTATTGTCTTTCAAGTCCAATGTCTAAGTTACTTGGGCTTTGGGGGTGGCCTTCATTGACTTGGCCTTGATGTCCATAGTTGTAATTATCTATGCCTTAGCCCTAATATTTGGTTGTAATTGTTGTCACAGTTATTTTTGGTAACTCTTTTATTTATTTTGAGAAACAGAAAGACAATGGGAGAGAAGTGGTGGTGGTTCAATGCCCCAGGATGGATGCTTGTGGCCAGGTATTGGTCTCTTCTTTTTATTATTGTTTTTATTAGGAGTTTTGTTTTAACGAAAAGATTTATGTACTTTTAATGTGAAGTTGGGTCGAATACATGTGTGCAAGGATGGACTTGTGGAATAAATTTATTGAGCAATAAATCAAATATTGTAGAGTAGCTCCTTTATCTTTTGGATCATCTAGTTTGTTTATTTTGCTTTTAGTTCAAATATATAGTGTTTATCTGTAAGGATGTTAGCAAGTTCTAAAATCCAAATTTTTACTTAGTGCCTTATGGATATCAACTTCATATCATGTAACTGATGTTAGGTTGTTCAACTTTGCCCTTTATTGTACATGGACTTGAGTTTGAGTATTAGGTGCGAGTGCGTGTTCAAGCATCAATTCTTTCTAAACCTAAATTGTGGAGCATTGGAATATGCATCCAAAAGTTGGGTATGGGTATGGGGGCAAGTCTTAAACACTCATTTATAATTCATATTGTATAATATTCTTAGATAGGATGTTGTAAATTTTTAAGAAATATATTTCAAATTAAATAAGATCTAAGAAAAATATGGAATGCATATCTCATTTGTGTGAGAAGCTAGAATTGTTTCATTACTGACAAATGTGAGTGTCTTTTTATTCGAACTTTATATAAAATGTCTAAATAGGGTACTAGTGTCGTACACACCCTTACCCTTGTCATATTTGATGGAGTACACTGAGGGAAGTAAAAAGTCCATATAACACAGCTTGCCCTATGGTGTCGTGTTGCTATTTACGACTTGGTGAGAGTAAAGTTGTATTTGTAGGAGTATGTTTTTTATGTAAGTAATGCATTGTCTGATTATTTAAGTCCTGGAAAATTTCTGATAGTGATTATATTGTTTATAACCAATAAGGAATTTGACAAGTTTGAAAATATGGTGTTTTGAGAATTGTCTTAATTGTCTACAGGCTCGTGAATTTGTGAATGAGCTTCAAGCTAGTACCAAAGCATCAAGAAATCCAACCATGTGGCCTGAAGCTTCCACAGGAGCCAGCCTAAGTGCAAACAATGCAGACACTTCTACAGTTTCAGAGGTGTACACCAAAATGCTTACCATTTTTATTCCACTCCTTGTAGATGAGGTTTCGATTTTTCTACCAATTTTTGGAAACACAACTAATATTTCTTTTTCTTTTTAGTGTTTAAACTTGAGTTCTTATTGCTTAAACTGAAGAGTTCTTTCTTTGCACATTTCATGTGCTTTGAGGTTTCTGCACTTGTACCACCTGGAGGTGTTGCCAGTGGCAACAAAACTGGATTGAATGATGATGACACTAATGATGATGATCTGGGTATCTTGGATATTGATGAAAATGACAGCAAAACTGGTAATTCTTTTCTAAATAGTCCTCATTATGTTCAGCCCTGTTAAAGTCTGTTCATCCCTGGTTATCAAATTTTGTAGGTAAAAATTCTGCAGAGCTAGCGGCACTAAATGAATCACTTCAGGAACTGCTTGACGGAATACAAGTAATGTTTAAATTATTTTAATTTTTATTGGGCATTTAATAGTTACTAGATTATCCAATTGGCTCTTTTTATGTGATGAGCAAATGCCTCCTGAAAGAGGTTGGCATAAATTGGAATCATCACTAACTTTTAGTGAAAAAAAAAAAGTTGGAATCATCAAATTGAGAAAAACTTTATTATAGAACTGCACCCCAGTAAAATTAGATGCATTAACAAGGTATCTGGTCATTCGTCATTCAAGACCCAACTTGTTGTAGTGAATTGTTCTCATGAAATTCCTGTCATGCATTATTTTAGGGATTAAACTTGAAAGCTTAAGTCAAAGTAACATTCTGATGTTTCAGGAGCTTCTGATATCGATGACGAGTCAGAAAAACTTTATTATAGAACTGCACCCTAGAAAAATTAGATGCATTAACAAGGTATCTGGTCATTCGTCATTCAAGACCCAACTTATTGTAGTGAATTGTTCTCATGAAATTCCTGTCATGCATTATTTTAGGGATTAAACTTGAAAGCTTAAGTCAAAGTAACATTTTGATGTTTCAGGAGCTTCTGATGGATGCCAAGATGGTAACAAGGTATCTGGTCAGCTGCATAGATATGAGCATCTGAGTAGAATGGCAGCAATTGACGAGTCAGAAAGCCTTTCTGATATCGATGATGTTGAGGTATGCTGCAAGTTTTAAAGCAAGTTGTGTTCTTGACTTAATTGGTAAATGTTACCTGATTAACTTATCAGATCAGTGAATTTATAACTTTGAAACAATGTCAAATTTTTTACAGGTTGACAAATATCTGCACAGTAAGGAAGAGATGCATTACAAAAAGATTTTTTGGAAACAAATGAATAGTAAACATGAAACGGTAATGCTGCCTTTTCTTTGTTCCTTTCTTTCAAATATTACCCTCTTCAAGTGTAGGTAATTTGGAGCAAAAGTTGGTTAATAGTCATGATCATGATGCTGTAAATACCCATGATATGTAGCTAATGAGATGAAATTGATTTGACAACAAAACCAATAACATTTGTTTTATTGTACTCACGGCCTTTTGACTGCTATAGTCTTTCTGTAAGTAAAATCATAGAAGAACGAGCACTAGTTTAGATGTGGAGTCCTTTGAATGTACTGATTACACAAATAAACACATGTAAAGCCCTTTGTTGTATTGTTGAATATGTTGCCAAGTTAGATATTGAATACATGCATTTGTCTGATCTCAAAGAGTGCCATTCAATTGAAGCATGTAAAACTCAGGAGATTGAGACACGCTGTCCTGCTTCATTTTCTGGTAGGAATATTTAACCCTCATTTCGCCGTAAAACTGTTCTAGTTTGCACCTCAGAGGATCCTCACATCCGTTCACTTTGTCTCTTCTATTAGCACCACTTTTTGCACTGAAATGATTTGAATAAAAAATCTAAATAACCATAGGGGGGAGAGAGAAAACATTAATTCAGAGTTCTGAACTTATATAGTAGAAAAATGTCGGTAGTTCATATACTACATAGCATGTGAAATGCTGAAAGCTCATGGAATACCCTATTAGCTGCAGAGATAAATCTCCTAGTATGTCATCAATGCCGCATTCTTTGTACTCTCGGAAGTGCTTTATGGTTTGATTATGAGATGTGAGCCAAACCTATCCATTTTGTGGCCATATGCACCATAGTTAATGGGAAAACTAAATAACCAAATCCAACCGATGTGTATTGGGCCAGTTTGGTTTGGTTAGTGATGGAAACAAATCAAAAATAAGAATTGGAAGGGTAGAACAAATTGACAAATACCAATCCCCACAACACAAATGGTCTCGACCTCAAGTTAATGGTCACTTGAATATAAACTTACTTTCCCACTGAATTTTACAAGACTTCAGCTCCATTGCAATGACTCCAACCAACGTTGTCCTATGGTAATTCAATGGCGCACTTAACAAAGGAAACTTCAGTTCTTCTTGCCAATGAAGGTTGCAGCCCTTTTTATAAATGAAAACGAGACGTGAAGGAAAATACAGTCTTCATTGTCATTTTCTAAAACAGGTAATTGTATGATGATAAGCCGCGTGTGTTTGGCTCAAGTTAGATGGAAGGATTGAAATAATCATTTGGTGGGATTATTCATCATATTTACATGAATTCTCAATTTCAAATCTAACAAATCAAGTTACAATATGATGCCATGCTATTTTACTGTTATTTTTGTTCCATTAATCTGAAATTTATTACTTGCTATGAGACAAAGCTACACTGAGAGTTGGCTAATGTATTTCTATACATCCATTTCAATGTCTTTACAGAGCCAAGGTGCCGAGAATGCCAACACGGAAGGCATAATTGCAAAATACGATACAAAGTTTAACAAGAAGTTTAGCACCGACAGATTGAGTCTGAAATAAGAAAGTATGATAATGAATTTGACCACAAGACTGATTACGGTGAAGGTGTTGAAAGCTGCGGAGCGTATGGTGTGGATTATGATTATGAGGATTGACATGAGATATGAAGAGCTTGGCTTTATGTTAAAATTTTAAAATTTATTATTTGATGTTACATTAGTTTATGAGAAAATTTTGTAAAAATATATTTTATTTTTCTATAATTTTTTCTTTCCTGACACATTCATCACATGACGATGAATATGCTATGAACTTGTGCCCTTACATAGCTTGAGAAAGAAATAAAAGAAAATTTTGATATTATTTATTAGAGAGGTTTTGCACACCTTGTTTTCTTTTTTGGTAAACAAAGCATAACAATATATTAAGATAAAATAGTTCTGGAGTATTGAGCCCCTACAGCATCCGTTAATTTGAATGATGCTTTAAAATTATAGGTTTGTTATGGATTGAATGAATTATTAGGAATTACAAGTGTATTGTTTTCTTGCTTTGGCGACCAATTTATTAGTCGCGACAAATAAATTATATTTTTTTCACAAAAAATGACAATTGCCGACCAAGAGTTTTGGTCGCAAAAAATACATCTATTGCCGACCAAAAATTTTGTTGGTCGTGGAAACTCACTTTTGCCGACCAACAGTTTTGGTCGCGAAAAGTAACAATTGGCGACCAAACTAATTTTGGTCGCAGAATGTCACAATTGGCGACCAAAAAATTTGGTCGCGAAATGTCACAATTGGCGACCAAACTTTTTGGTCGCGAAATGTGTCAATTGGCGACTAAGAAATTTGGTCGACAAAAGGCGACTTTTCGCGACCAAAGTGTTTTAGCGACAAAATGAACATAGTAACCTAGGCTAATAACCGGAATAAGAACACACAATGTTTTCAAAATCAGATATCACG